TGAAAAGGGCTGCATAGATTTTAATTCACGTATTAATGTAATGGTTTATCTGTTTTTAATTAATCTTTGATCCAGAATCAAGTTGCAGTTTTTTAATCTTTGATTCTGTATCAAAGATTAAAAAACTGCAACACGACCTGGTACAAAGGAAACATTTAAATTCTCTCTTGCTACTTTCTGTTACTGCACATGACAACATAATTACGAGTATTAATGTAATATGCGAGCAATAAAAACAATCATCTTAATAGAAACAGGATTACATGCGCATAACGTAGACCGGTCATGGTATTTCAAACAATCATTTCAAGTAATTTCAGCATGTCTTGGAAAGAATCGCAAATGGCATTTTGTCGGAATTACAAAGCTGTTTTCTTGTTATTTTCTAGAATAAATGTGTTATAAAGAATTATTAAATTTCTTTGCTTGTGCTTTTCCCTCCATATTTATTTAGTAAATAGCTGTCGCCCGCGACTCCGACTGCGTTGAAATAAAAAAAAAAAACAAAAGTAAGTACCCTATGTATTCTCTACGTCTATGCCAAATTTCATCGAGATCTGTTTAGCCCTTTAGGCTACAAACTCTAACAAACATCCATCTAAACTTTCGCATTTATAATATTAATATAATATTCGCTCGCGTCTCCATCATCGTGGGATTAAAAAAAAAATAAAAGGAGCCAATGTGTTCTTCAATACTATGAACTACGTTTATGTCTTTCATAACTTTAGGTGTTAAACTCTAAAAAACATCCATCCATGTATCTAAACTTTCGCATTTATTTTTATAGTGAAATATCTATAGTATATACGAATGTTGGTTTTCTTTAATAAGCTACGTCTATTGTTTACTAAAAAGTAACTACAGATACATGTCATGTCAATTAAAAATTGTTTAAAAAATAATATAACCAATTCCTTTAATGGATTTTTGGTGCGAACTTATTTTGTCAATAGTCCTAACATTTAGGTTTTCGGAACAAGAGATGCAATATAATCAACGCATATACGAGTTCTATTAATACCGCCTTTAGTAGGTCACCAATCGTGTCTGCAATAAATATAATGTCTGTAGCGATCTTAAAAAGAGAGAACTTCATAAATAGACACACTAATAGACTCGTTTGTTAGTATCTTACTTAATATAGAAGTTTCAAACCGAACCCGGAGATATTTCGAGTTGATTTTTTTTTTAATTACACTGGAATTCACGTCCAAAGAGTTCTAGCCAGTTTTGATAATTATGACATCATTAATGCTGGTTTACTGAAGTTTCCATTCCAAGGATGGGAACGGAACATGGATTTGACGGTGGAAGAGACGCATAGGAAGGGGAAATATCCTGTTTATGTGCGTCTCTTCCTTCGTCGATTAGTAGGCAACGCATCCGCTATTACGAATGGCTATGAGCAGCGGTCGCTTGCTCGTTTACTATCTTATAACATAAAAAAATAAAAATAAAGGTCCTTAGCTGTCCACATCCGATAAATCACACTAAATTATAAGTGCGAAAGTTTGGATGGATGGATGTTTGTTAGAGTGTGTAGCCTAAACGGCTGAACTGATTTCAATGAAATTTGCTATAGATAGAGAGGATAGTCTGGAAGAACACATAGGCTACTCACTTTTGTTTTTTAATACCACGATGGAGTCACGGGCGAAAGCTTGTCCTAAAACAAAATCTCAACAAGTAATAAATCCAATATCTCGTAATTTAATTTGCAAAATCTTTTATATAACCAGTTATCCTTTCTAATTACAGTTAAAAGGTTAGATGGTATCTTGTTTAATATTTTATTGTACACAATGTTTCCGAAGCGTTTCTGATAGCCTCCTGGGGTTAAACAAAGTACATTTATTATTCCATTATGTTTATCTTACGATAGGGTAACAGCTTAGGAATTAATGAGAGGAGCATCGGTATGTAATATCTGGTTGAATCTAAAGGTTAAAATAATTCAGAAATTTTACATATCAAATTATTTTGCGATGTAATTAAACATTGCACAGTGGGTTGATCGTAAATTCACAGGGTAAATAATGTTATTAATATTATAAAAGTTTAGATAGATTTATATTGTGTAGATTTATATAGTGGTAATGCCCGCTTTAACATCTTAGCACGAATGAGCCGGCTCGCCCGGGGTAATACCACGACCACACAGAAGACAGGCGTGAAATGGAAGCAATTCCGTGTTTCGTCTGATGAGTGTGGTGCCGGAGGCCTAATTTTCCTTTTCCCTTCACCACCCCTTTCTTATTAGGAGAGGATGGGAAGAGGAAGTGGATTTGATGGTGGAGGAGATGCATAGGAAGGGGAAGTATCCTCTTTATGTGCGTCTCCTCCTCCATCGGATAAGGGTAGGCAACGCATCTGCAATTGCGGATGTCTATGGGCAGCGGTCGCTTAGATATTTTAGCGGATTCAGGTGGCCGCTTGCTCGTTTTCCACCTTATGTTATAAAAAAAAATTGTTAGAGGGATTTTACGAAACGAAGATGAATATTAACACACATGTGGAACATACTCTGGAACATGTACATACATATTTTTTAATTCCGCGTAGGCAGAGTCGCTACCAAAAGCTAGTTGAATAAACTTTGGTCGGTCGGTTCGTAAACTAAGAGGTGCAATAGCATGATTTGCATTATGTGACATGCATTATCTCGCATGCACATTTGTTTATACAGCGACCGAAACCGTCTTACAATGTTTGGCATTACCTTTGTCATTTCAAAACCTTGTTCTTTTAATAAAAACGCTGGCATTGAACTCGGGTCCAGGATTTCATATTTTAATGCAATACTGTATGTAGCCAAAAATCCCTCTGTGTAATTGTTGATCGTGATATTATTAAAACTATGCGTTTAATTTTTACTTTTTAAACTATTCAAATTAATTTCAGAGACAGATGAAACAAGATTTGACGGGAGCAGTGGAATTTCAAACAGAAAGTATCTCGTCAGGAATATGCAACCATTGGTACGATATTATCGAACATTTTGTGTCAGAGTTTTGATGCTAATGAAGTTTCATTCCCGCTCAAACTGATCTATTTGTGTCGCAATTTTCAACCGTATCATAGCTCTATTTGTCGCGGACTTCATTTCATATTTGCATGGAAATATGCTTTAAAAGTTCGTTCACAGAATATCAAAGTCGCATAAATGATCACGTGTAGAATAAATATAGTTTGTAAACTTTTTGATCTATAGTTTTGGCAAGATTATTAGTAACATAGACTATACACCGACAAGGATATCTGACCAGGTATAAGACAAACTAAATTATGACAGCTCATGAGTTCCACACTGTCAATGTCAAATATCACAAGTTTGTTGTTTTGTTTTTTCATACCTTGCCTTTTAGGTCCACTAAAACCCCTTCGGTGGTCATCCTTAGTGACTGGAGAGAGTCCCGTAATCTCCAGAGAAACGAACCAGCTCTCCGCATTGACTATACCATAATGACACTCCGGAGAATATCATCAAATCCGATTTAGTCTTCAAAATCACATGTTACTAGAGGTCACAGTGTTATCGTTTAATCAAACTCGACGTGAATGCAATTTATGTCCATTTTAAAAATGTTTTCGCATAGAGTTAAATGGGCTATAGCTTTTTGAAACTAGGCCTCTGATCGATCAAGTCTGGGATAAAAAAAAATGAGGGCAAACAATGTAATAAATCTTTTCCAAACTAATGGGCATCATCTAAACCAGTGATTCTCAACCTTTCTTTTGTTGGGGCACATATTTATCGATTTCAAAATTTGGCGGTACACAAATAAAAAGAAAAGATTTACTTACTACAACACATTGCATAAATAGTTTATGACAAAAATATGTAAAGTTTGGCGGCACACTTGGAATTTGGCGGCACACAAAAGTGCCGCGGCACAGTGGTTGAGAAACAGTGATCCAAACTTTACTGCTTTTATACAATTTTAGTTACCATCAATATAACGTACTCATATCAATCAGCTTTTTATATAAACCGTTATTTTGTAACGGAATTCTGGATTTATCCATTTACAGTCAAGTAAAAATCAATACGCTGTAATAAAATTAGTTTAACCGCTTGTTATTTAATGTTGGAATGCAAATTATCAGATTTATCATATTCAATTACAATGGAACACAATTTACGAGAATTATTTCTAGGATTTTAATAAACCTATTGTTCTGCCTGTATACGAAAGTAAGTACTTTTAAAATGTAGTTAAAAATAAACAAAAATTATAATACTTTACATACAATATCAATTTGATATTAATTTTAAAAGGTTTGTTCTATACAAATACAAATCTTATAAATCGCTGTAAATTATTTATTCAATTAAGTGGCAATTAAATTAATTGTATTTATTTCTAAATAAATATAAATATAAATATTTATTACATACATACATATATATATATAACATAGATATTACATACATATATAACATATATTATTTATTCTCATTCAAGTATTTAGTTTCATTGTTACATCTTATTTTATATACCATACCATATACCATCTTGCATATTTATTTTTCATTTGTACTGGAGCAATATATAATTCATGAATTATACCGAAACGCCGTAAGCGTAGGTTTTTAGTAATAATTGAATGAAAAAATTTTTCCTGCTGTTTTCGATGCCCACGATACAGGCATTGCCTAGTGTGGGCATCACTCGATTAATCGTATATTAACCACAAATCGTATTTATCTTTTAGTTGGTATAACTGTTATTGTAATTGTTAATGTCTTAATATTCAATAAAATTATTTCTATTTTAAGAAACGGTCTTATAACTTATTAAGTTATCCGACCTCTTAAATTAACGCACTCGGCGTATTTAAAATTCTTCACAGGGCTAATTAACAATTTCTAACATAACTGTAGTTAAAGTATCTCAATATAATAAACAAACACAAAGTTTATGATAATTATAAAACGTTTTCATTAAAAATTCGTTTCTAACTTTAATATGTTTTTAAATTAAATAAGTACTTACAGCCCCGCAACTAACGTTCTCGGCCATCGAGATTTCCTTGCACCTGCTACTACCATAACACGACGAAATATTACACTTAACTGTACTTAAAAAACATATCTGTAAGCCAAACTTAAGTTGAAATCAATTTCCATCACTAAAAATACAATTCTACTTTAATAATTTATTTAAATTGTCAGTTATTAAAGGTATTTTGACGTACTGTTTACAGTTTTTTTGTTTATTTCACACAAAACGCGACTGGACCCTTCCAAAGTTTCGGGGAGACTGGTTGCGCGCGCCGTATCCGTTGCCATGGTTACCATTTGGAGGTTATATTTCTGTTGTACGGAGGAAATTGATGTCACCTTAATTTGGATTTATTATTATCTAATGTGCTTCAACTAGAAGCTTTCTGGTACAGTGCTATCTTAAGTGATTACACGTCGAATTATATTCTATCAATTAAAAAATATTTTAGATAAAAAAAAAACATTCGAGCAACCAATATCTGACACTGGTTTTCTTTTGTGACAAACAATTCTCATTAGACTCATCTTTGAACTTTTATATTTTAATGATATAAACAAACAATATGAAGCTAGAGTTTGTTTAGATGTAAGCTAACATTGTTAGACTCGACGGCCTTAGTTCCAACAACCGAATCCCATTCAGTTTCAGACTAGACAGGCAACACTTTATAAGTGGATTCTAACATCAAAGCCGTAGCCGACAAGTTTACTCTACCTCTGAGAATAGTTTAGAGAACTTTGAAATTGTAATAAGACCTGTTCGCTGTTTCTAGTTGAATTACATAAATGTTTTTTGTTTTTTTATAATAGCAACTTGTACTTCTTTATCATCATCAACTTGCCTCTGTCTCTACGCAGGGTCGGCACAGTATGTGCTACTCTTCCCTACATCTCTATCAGTCGACACATCTGAATATACTTCCTTTTTAAGCCTATCCTCTTTAACACAATCCATTCATACTTTCTCCGGTCTTCCTCTACCTTTGTAGCCATCCATATTCAATCTTAATATTCAATCTTAACACTTTCTGGTTTTTCTCCCGGACTTATAAGTAATCAAAATCCCATGTTACATCGAAATGAAGTCGGTTCAGTAGCTTATAACTTTGTACAAATATTTCGAGAATAGATGTTTGTAACACTCAAAAGGCAGTTAAAAATGATTCTACTAAGCGTTAAAAATCGGGAAATGGGTCCTTAGGAATTTGGAAAGGGTCTGAGATAAAGACCTATGTAGGTACTATAGAATAGTACAGATAACTACCAATGAAAGTTAATAAATTCATTCAACATAATAAACTATTTCAACTAGAATTATCGTGATTTTGCTTTGTTGATACAAGGGCAATATTTTTCACATGTATTATTTCAACTTCGCGCAATATTTGAAAAGGTATGTCGATTCGTGTTCTTTCAGCATCATGTGAGACTGTGTGGGACTTATTGATGAAAAATTCCACTTCATATAAAAGGCTTTATAAAAGTTCAATATGATAGCAATTAAGTTAACTTCCACGTTCTATATAGGAGATAAACAGCTGGGGACCGTCCACTGCGTTATAAGACCTGTAGTACACAGACATGAAAGCGATAAGCAAAATAAATTTTAACTAACGCCAATGTTACAACATCGATTCCTTTTGCTAATAGTTCCATTTTAATGAATGAATTTCACAATAGTTTGGATTACTTCGCTTCGGTCTCGGATCGCTTTAACATCTGTGTGCTATAGGTTTAACCGCAACGAGTTTACTCTCCCATTAGCCGGACATCGTATGTCTTTCATTATCTTTATTGATAGACTTATGGACTAGATCTTTCGTTTAGACGATAACCTTTCCTTTAAATTTTAAAACTGTAATATAATTGAAATTTTCTTTACTTTAACACTATGTATTAAAGGTTACGCTAATTACCGCACACTGGATTGTTAAAAGGTTATCGGGAGACTTATATTAAACTAAATCTTCACTAAGACTGATAAAACTATCTTTGTATATGGCAATAACCTCGTTTTCAATGGACCACTTGATTAGTCTTTTGGACTACTAGACTACTTGTTAATTTCAGACATTTTTGCAGTTAAGTTTTATACCTATTTATAAATTACTTTCTAAAATCAATTCTTAGTGTGAGAGAGTGAGTCTAGGTTATATTTTATTTATCTATCTACTTTTGCTAAGTCAAGGGAGTCTAATATAAATTACGTGCTTAAAATAACGATATCAAATAAAACTTAACATCGGTCCCGTATTTACCAGCAATATAACAAATGGAAAACTTTGCTAACAAATTCAGAAAGGGTCGTTCGTTTGTCCGCGAGAGAGGCTCAAAGGCCTAAACTTGTCCGTTGTCGTTTTACATTCAGATAAGCTTTGTGACTTGTGACAATAATGTTATACAATTTAGTTCTATGAAACGTAATTTAACATTATACAGGACGATTATTTACATGTTAAATAATGGATAGAGTTATGGAAAACAAAACGTATGTTTAGTACATTTATGGGCTAAATAAAGTAATTTTTTGCGGGAATGTTAGTTTGTGTGTATTATGTGGTATAGTTTAAACGGTTGAACCAATTTAGATGCTTGGTGTTTCGGATTTTTCCTCTAGAATGTGGAATAGGAAATTCTATTCCTTTTTTATTTTATTTTGTTTTTAACAACACAAAATTAACCTAAAACTATAGTAAACGCTGAATAAACTTTAGTCGTTTTACAAGAGCGTTTCCATGGCTTAAGTAGATATATATTGTTTGAATTTATGCGTAATGTTTTTTGATGTTATCCCTTTTATTACAAGTGAGGGTAGTTCATTTGCTAATATTGGTATAATAAATGATGCCGTGCGCTCGCCGTTCAGTTGTTTAGAAGAGAGCGTTTGCTTCTATAATGTTGTTATGGATAAAACCTAGTATATATGACTATTCTAACACGCAAATTATATGTGAGGCCTAAACAGGGTTGCCACCTTTCTCAACTAGACTGCATTTTTCAAGTGGGACAGCGATGTATTTGTCACAGTGTGGATGTGAAACAAGTGACAACTCAATGTTATTTTGTCGTACACCAATGAGTCTAGGGTTGACAAGTCACTGTTTACTGTTTTCTATTACTTAACTATTTTATGCCGCATATTTGTGGTCTGCTTTACATAAAATTGACAGCCCTAAGGTAAGTAATGAATAATAACAAAGGACTCCGCGCCTACGAATCCGGTGCCCGTTCTGAATCATCAAGGATGTTATAAAAACGTCGATTTATTTACTTCTCGTTGTCGTTTCCTACACGAGTTCGTAGTGAAAACACTATTTATTTGATGCGATAAAAAGCCCGCACTTTTTGCGGAACTCCGGGGCAATTGGCTTGGTGCTCAGTCGGTGTTAGGAGCTGATAAAAGGCGGTTTAATTGCCTCACTGATTGGATTAGTTCGCAATATGGATTGTAGAATTTTACTTTGTTTCGCTGTAAGTATGTTTTTTATTTAGGTTTTTTTTCAAGCTTTCAATGAATACTTAATCCTCTTTATTGCTGTACATACGTAGTTTATACAATAATTTAGTCTTTTTTTACTTTATATGTTTAATATAAGCTACTAAAATTTCATTTAATTGTTTTTTTACCTAAATTACATTAACACACTTCTTCAAAAAGGCTTTTACTAATTTTTGTATCAATATTAAAACCAAATCGATTACTTATCTGACCAGCTTTATAAGTGTTAATTACATAAATTATTCCTGAAATTTGTAATAAAAGGAGTATCCGCTACTTTCGGCATAGTGTCTTTGACTAATGAAATGATTTCGGTATATCAGTGTGTTTCCACTGATGAAAAATATGAACAAAAACTTATTGCTATCTCTCTTTTTTGTAATAAATAGACAAGGATGATATGATTTATATAAAAAATATCGGTAGTAACTCACCGGTAACGTAAAGCGCATTGTTTTTTTGTACTTTTAAAATCAAACAAAAACTAAGATATTTATTTAGATACTGCTATTCAATTTTTTTGTAACAAAACTAAACATTATTCTTATCTTCCAGATAGATTTTTATCTTTTTAAATATGATGTAAATACAAACTAAAGTTAATTAAAAATCTTGTTTACCTTTTAATTATCGATAACAATAGATGTTATTTTGTAATAAAAACTCAACAATGTATTTCAAAACCTTAGCGTATGAGTATTACTATATTATTATATAGCTACTACTACTACTACTACTACTACTACTAGCGTATTACTGTCCCTTATATTCCCAAAATAGACACAGTACAGTAACTCACTATTACAAACAATCATTGTCATGGGAAAATGATTTGAATCAGTTATAAAAAAGGTCCAATTTTCAATAAATCGAGAATTTATGTAGACAGCGACGTCTTCCTGCTTCAGATGGGTAGCAAAACATTTTCTGTCATGTCCATACCCTTCACCTTAAAGTAAAATAAAAACTATCATTTACAATGTAGTCTAATAATCGCGTATTGTTTTTTTAAGTCGGTTTAACAGTTTCGGAGCAACAAACAATCAAATATTTCCTCTTTTTGACCGACTTACCAAAAGAAGGAGGTACTTAATTCGTCTCTGTTTTTTTTTTAATATTAGTAGCGGCTCCTGGATCTCTTACCTTGTAGACTGTGTAGTTATTAAAAGCTACTAAGAACGGTATACCGTGGACTAAACTATCACACAACTGTTCTGCGATTGTTGATTGTCGATTGTTTCGCAGCCCATTCAACTGTTTAGTTGCACAACTAAGCAAAGCGAGACAACAGTTATGCGATAGTCAAAGGTGCGCATGCCCTAAATGTTTGAATCCCAGTTCTTATTTTAAGGTAAATGTTTCGCTATAATATTGCTTAATACCGACCGAATCGGATTTATATTTCAAGGGTTCGGAAGTCATAAGAGTATGAAGGACTTCCGTTTTTGTTCGTTTCGCGACGCAGCATTAAGATTATCAAAAGTACTTAAAAATGTATATAAAAACAGAACAATCTCGAAGGCAATTTAATACCATTGTTTATGGATAAGAAGAAATTAAATGAAATACGATTTTGAGAAAATATCGTCTGTTAGCCATATTGCTTTCTTGAAATGTCCTTTTATATAAAATTAGTATTTTTTTGACTTTAAATTAAAAAATCACATTAGAAGTATGTTACTATTACGAAACTCTTCCTCAGAACCTCATACGTACACATTCAAATTTTCTTAAGCCTTTAAGATATAGTTAGTACTATATAAGTTGTACCCTAGTAATAACAACATAACATAACACAATAAAAACAAAAAAAATTATCATCATCATCCGCTTGCCCTTATCCCTTACGGAGGGTCGGCACAGTATGTGCTGCTCTTCCATACATCTCTATCAGCCGTCATATCTGAATCCACTCCTTTCTTAAGCATATCCTCTTTCACACATACCATCCATACTTTCTTCGGTCTTCCTCTACCTTTGGAGCCATCCACATTCAATCTTAACACAGAAAGTGTTAAGTACAAAGGTTTATGTCCCCATCGTTTCATCGAAAAAAAAAGAAATATGATTAAATCAATAAGAAGGACAATATTACTCAACCAAATGTAGTGTGACAAATGCAGTAGAGTTCCAGTCATTAAGGAGTGTGCTGTGACTCAGAATGACTGTTAATTTATAAAGAAAAAGTATAACTTGAAACAGAATATTAGAACCGAAACTAGAAATTAAAAATTGGTGGTTTGTAAATGTAAATGCTGAATGAACACAAATATTCATGCATTTCATCTTTACGCTAACTGTTGCTCGCGACTTCGCCCGCGTGAAAAAAAAATAATAAAAACATAGTCTATGTTACTTAGTAATAACGTAGCTTTTTATTTGTGAAATAATTTTTAAAATCGGCCCAGTAGTTTTTGGGTTATTACAATACGTACAGAATACATAAACACCAATCTTTCCTCTTTATAACATTAGTATACATGTACAGTTCAGTGACATTTTGAGGATGTTTGATTTCAAATATTTCTTTCCAAAAGTTTGCTATTTAAAAAAAAAAGTTTGCACCAATGAGTAAGAAAGAAGAAACAATTTAAATATATCCTCATTTTAATAGTATTTTGACAGAATTTTTTGCGACACGTATTTTTTTAGTTATAGACCAACAAGTTGACCTAGTGGGCATAAGTGAAACTAAATTATAATAGTCCTCTAGCGACCTCGTATGTAGGTTTTACATATTTTCCGACATAATCAATCAAAAGCAATGTCTGTATCACCATTCTTTTGTTGGACTACAGTAAACCTCTCTATAACGCTCTCTACTACAACGCGGATCCATCAACAGCGTTATAGGAGCGCTTTCTATGTAAATGTCATTTATTATACAAGTAGCTTTTGACGCGACTCCGTCCGCGTGAAATTTAATTTAAATAAATGAAAAAATATACCTATGTTTCTCACAGATAAATAACCTTTCTAACGGTGAAAGAATTTTTAAAATCGGCCCAGTAATTTTTGAGCCTATTCATTACAATCAAAACAAAGTTTTCCTCATTATAATATTAGTATAGATATAAAAGTGGAACCCCATGTATCCAATTAACAATAATAAAAATCAAGGAAATGGGAATTAATTACAAAACTCTACCTTCGCTTGAACATATTAATTGAAGAACATACCAAGATATTATAGTCTTTCTGAGAATCGTGTCCTGAGAGAATTCCTTGTCAAGTTGAGTCACGGCGCGCGAAGGCTATTGCTAGACGGACACGATTTAACCTAACTTCGGACTACACTAATTGAGTTAATAATTCATGAGCTGTTACGTATCTGAATCAATTGATAAATAATACTTAGTAGCAAAGGCGGATCCAGGGGGGGAGTCATGGGGAACATGACACCCCCCCCCTGAGCTGGTTGGTGACCTCGACTATGTGACCCCTCCTGGCGCCTAAGCTGGATCCGCCCTTGCTTAGTAGTCAATAAAAATTATACATAAAGCGCTTCCACCACATTCATGTCTAAAATTCACCTTGTCATTTTTCCTTCTTCCACTGTAAGGCTTTTATATTTCTTTCAGTATACTTTCTGTATATTTCACTAATGAAAATTTGTACTTTTTTAATATCAATTTGTTGTTTTATACTCATCCAGTGACCCTTTATCTTTTTCTATTAGCTAATGATTTGTCCAACCGCATGTAAACATCTAATCGGATCATCAACTACCGATTTAAAGCTATGGACTTCTGATATCAAAAATTCGCGTTTTATGTAGATATTTTAGTAATTTGGAACATTGTGGAAGTCAAACCACAAGTCAAGTGTTTAAAATCCCAAGTCATTGGTGTCTTACCAAATTTTCACTTAGTACTATTTATTTCAGGTTATATTCAGCAGTCACGTACTAGCCTATCGAATAAATAAGGAAGATTTACCAAACGATAGCTTCTATGATGACGACGATTACGATTATTCCTACGACGACGTGGACACACGAAAAGAAAATAATGTAAAACCAATTGAACAAAATAAAAACAACACCACACCGAAAACAGCAACATACGAGGTAACTGAAGATGTTGACGATATCCCAAATCCTAGCACCAAATTCGGTCCGATATTTACGAATTTCTCTACACCAAGACCTTTAAACAATGCAAGTTTAAACGTTCAACGTCCTACAGAAAAACCAGACAGTAATTCTGAAAGTAACGATTTAAATAATCCCAATGAAGGTAAAGGTAAAAAAAACTCATATAGTATACTACACGTGAAAGCCGAGTATGACGATCCACCAAACACACCTTTAAATTGGGGAGACAGTCATGTACATAAACTTGGTATAAAAGATTACATTTATGGTATATCGAAAGGTATTTATAATAAAATAACAAAGTTATTTAATAAACATGATTGTAATGATGATAAACATGTATTTAGAACAGATGACTTTGAAGAATCACATAAGTTTCGAAGCGAAAATACCAAGACGGAAAATGGACAGAACTTTGTACATGAAGTTCACGGTGATACTTATTTACTTAGTGATTACGAATAAATAGCTTCAATAAATGTTTCTGTTATTTATAATTCGAGTTTTATTAATTATGCTTTTACGAATTTACTAATGACTAGACTTCGTCCGTATATAGATAAAAAATGCCTTAGTCTATTTTACTCACTGATTACGTAGATTTTTAATAGTGAAAGAATTTTTTAAAATTAGCCTCGTACTTTTTGAGTTATTTCAATACATACAAAAATACAAATCTTTTAGTATAGATTACCTATGTAAATAACAATTATTAGTGTACTGCTCAATAATTAGTAAAGTTGTAATGAAAGTTTTATAGTTAGGTATCTGAGATTTTATTTAATAAAAAAAGTTGGTGACAGAATTTAAATAACCATTATTAGTTTAATATAACAAGAAAAGTATATACTTGAGACAGAAAACACTGAATTGATACATATAACGTTGACGTTCATAATATCAATCAACTGCAGATGTTAAAACACGTATTTAACTAAATAATGTGTAACAGCCGAATACTGAAACCTCATTTAAAATGCCTTACAAATGACTTGTATCTGTCAGATTGTAAGCGACGCTAACGAAAGGAAATAACATTCGTTTCAGTATATATAAGAATGTGTACATTAGAGGAAGTTTAAAAGTAGCGCCAGTAGTGGAGAAATTGAGAAGCAAAAGGATAGCCTGGTAAGGACATGTTATGCGACGAAACGATGGGGACATAAACCTGAAAGTGTTAAGATTGAATGTGGATGGCTACAAAGGAAGAGGAAGACCGAAGAAATTATGGATGGATTGTGTGAAAGAGGATATGCTTAAGAAAGGAGTGGGTTCAGATATGACGGCTGATAGAGATGTATGGAAGAGCAGCACATACTGTGCCGACCCTCCGTAAGGGATAAGGGCAAGTGGATGATGATGATATGTATATTTTGGTTTATAAAAATGGTATTCATTTCCAGGACGAATCAAACTTTTGTTTTTAATACGCCTACTCTCATTTTTATACAAAGTCAAGTACAGGTCAGTTTAGTATTCTGCGGTCGGGTCGGCTAAATTTTACCTGTGTATGCTTTACCGTGGTCAACAACCGCGAACAGTGTTTGTCCTGATTGGGGAAATCTACAGAGATGATACAACATTCTAAAAATAATGTTTTAATTCACTTCATTGAAACACTCTTTATCTCTCTATCTCATTCGACTCGTAAGTATTCATTATCTCGCTGTCCTTTTCCCACTCGTATAAGGTATACACACCAGTTATCGTTACCCAGATCGTCTATATACTGTTAATATTATAATTAATTAATGCATAACTTTAATTAATTTATTATTCAACTAAAAGTGACACTATAATTATTAAAATAACCTAAACAAGTTCTGAATTTAAATAATTTATAAGGATAACAAAAACAAATAAAAACAAAACTGTAAAATAAAACTAGTATCTAATGTTAGACCGGTTTGTGAGCAGCTCTTGATATTTCCTTTATACTAAGGAGGGGTCAGTATCCTCTAGGCAGTAGGGATGCTGCGCGAAGGCAGTATTACTGCGCAAGCGCTTACGGACACCCGTGTGACAGCGGGATCTAGATCCGCGGATTGACGACACGGTAAGTAAGAAACGCATTTTTTGCAAGTATCAAATGTGCGGTATTTTATCGATATTAGGGATGTTCTAGTGTTATTGTTAAAATTTTATCGATGAAATTATGAAAAAAAAATTGAGGAATTTAATTGATTTATAAATTATGTACAATGAATATTGGTTTATTGGTAATTTTACCTTTAATGCAGTGTATAATAAAACATGTTTTTGCACAGCAATGATTTATAATCTTTTCATTTATTTATGTTCAGCTAAAAACATTGTAATATTTGAATTTGTATGGTAATCAAATACATCATCTAGATTTTAACCTACATTTATGTTACTAACGAAACAATAAAAAACAATTGTTTTTTTAATCATAAACATTTAATAGATGAACAGAAATCTGAAAATAATCTAAATTGTTGTTTTAAATTATTTAACACTAACTTTAGGTCCCGTCTTTGATCAAGCAGAAATAAAAAAATAGTAATAAACAATGCTGAGAAGTTAATCAGAGATAATGTAGCCTTTTAATGTAGAATTTTTAAAATTGGCCGAATACTTTTTGAGGTATTTCAATACATATAAACATACAAAAAATCCTGTTTATTGTAGTATCGTAGTCTTATCAGTTTTTTGACATCCTGTTCTTTTTTGATACCGTTTTCTTATTAATAAAACTATACTAAGGTAACCAAACTTCTTATTCATTGTACCGTTAGATAATGTGTCAATTGATTTGTTTTAATTAGCATCTAACTAAAAGCGTATTTGTTTGATGAAGTAATTATTCCCCTTGTACATATAAACAATAGATTTAAAACAATAACCACAAAAATATCTAATATTAACAATAATGATGTAACCTAATAAGTATTCCGTATTAACGGACGAACCCTATATTCAATCTCTAGAGATTTTACAAAGGCATCGAAAAACCTTATCCATCGTTTAGGTGATTCAATCGTTTTTGTATTCCTATCGTTATTGACGTAATTGGATCGATGCGTTTGGCTGTTCTATTCCTTAAAATGCAATGCTTCTAAATAATGTAGTTGCAAAAAATATGGAAAATAACACAATAGAAATAAATTAATCTTTCGTAAATTAAACTATGCCTTTATCTGGATTTCGTTAAACATTATTCGATTAACTTCGAGTGGAAATTGTAAACTGTGCAACAGATAATTTATTAATAATTACTAGACAGTAATATTTATTAATAGTTGAAATAGTGATTACTACGCAATAAAACATTTTAGTGGTGTCTTTATTGGAATTACCGCCGAATGTTTTGTGATAATTGTTTTAGATGTTTCCAGTTGCCTTTGCGTCACAACTTTGACATTTATTCTGTTGTTTCGTTTTTTGTTTTTTTTTTTTTAATTCGATTTTTAAATTGCCAGTATCGATAAAAACAAAGGCATCGCAGGTCACCTCTATAATTAGATGTGACAAAATTTGCAGTATTCCGTTGTTTTGGTAGCGTCGTTTTCAAAACATTTATCATAAAGTTTGTTGACCCAAAAGTCGTTTAGGTGAATGATTAAAATGATGATTTACTTGATTTAGAGGCAACCGTTTGTGATTTAATGTGCGAAATCATGATTTCATTTCAGATTAGGAGTTTTTATATCATAAAATAGATATATTTTGCATCCATCAGGCATCATAAATTCCAAATCTTATATTATAATAATATTATAAATACGAAAGTTTAGATGGATGGATGTTTGTTGGAGTTTGTAGCCTAAACGGCTAAACGGATCTTGATGAAATCTCGCACATATGTAGAGGATAGTCTGAAAGAACACTTAGGCTATTCACTTTTTTTTTATTCCACGCCGACGGAGTCGCAGGCTAAAGTTAGTTTATCATAAAACTTAAAATATAAATCGAGACGCTATTGTCTTTAGATAATAATCAAAACTAAAATATTGTGTCTATTCCCTCACTTATTTATATTGTATTAGGTGTTGCTCGCGACTTCACCCGCGTTAATAAAAATTATGAAAACGTAGCCTATGTTACTGATAAATTACCTTTCTAATGGTGAAATAATTTTTGAAATCGGCCAAGTTTTTACGTGAATCGATTGCTTACAAAAATCCAAAAATACAAATCTTTCCTATTTATAATATTAGTATAAATTACACTTTTGTGTTTATTTAAACTAGTATTTCCTTATCTATATGACATTATCCTATTCATGTGGGGTTTTATAAATGCATCAATAGTGAATCAAACACTCCCCCGATTGGCGAATTTTTAGAAAATCCGTTAAATCTCTACATTATGATGACAAGGATTAGATCTTAAAACGTGGTGAGATAACAGCTAAAAATCAAGACATTATAAACTTGTTACGGTCTTAAAACATTCTCGATATAAATTATGTTTTTTATCTTTTTACTTGACTTGGGTTAATATATTTAGAAATAAGATCGAGACCCTTTATTAGCTGTTTTACCTGAAACTGGATTTTTGGGTAGAGAAGTAAATCACGTTGAATCGGAATCAGTTCTTGATCAGTGTTTTTCATATTAACAGACGAACGAAATTATTTTTAGTTTATTAAGGGTTTTTATATAGTCGTTAAAATAATACTATACAGGGCAACTGGGGTTTCCATAGTATAGAGGATATACTCGTAATTTTAAAATAAACAAAATAATGGATAAACAGTTCGGTCTGTAACAGATTTTATCATACAAGCGAAATCAGTTTACGTACTTAAATTTTTAGCGCAAAAAATTATAAAGGCAATGAATTGGTGTTTTTGGATTTTTGTGTGTATTGAAATAACTCTAAAACTACAGGGCAGATTTTAAAAACTCCTATACGATTAAAAAGCTACCTTATCAGTGAGTAACATAGGCTATGTTTTTTTTTTATTTCACGTGGAGCAACAACTAGTATAAAATAAAATGTAAACTTTACACATGTATTGTAGCATAAAGTAATAAAACAAGGATGTTTGTAATTCAATATGTATGACCGCAACAGACTAACAAGAATCAAACAAGTCTATAAAGTGGTTGATCAACATCGCAAAACTTGTGAACCTTAATTGATAGGATGACCATAATAATCGTAATAATCGTAAAAAATTAATAATACTACAAAAATATTGAATACACATATATAAACTATTAGACAACTTACTTAATTGATACTGTCGCTTTTAACTCAGAGCAATACTCGTCAAGACTCAAGTTACGCGCCAATATATCCATACTTCTAGTGACATTGACAGCTGTCAGCTAGGGACGTGCCGTTTATGCCGATAATCTAGAGTTGCGCCAATTCTATAGCACGGTACTAATTTTATACCTAACAATACCTAACTTTAAAATTAAAAAATGAACGGAACTAAAAACTTTCAGACTCTACATAAATGTTTTCCGTATATAGATTTTATTCGAAGTATGTCTGTATGAATTTGACAGTTGATTTGGTATAATATTAAAAAAATAGTGTTTAAGTTTAAATTTGCACAGGAAGCACAATAACTATGGTATTTCAATCTTTGTTTTTTTTAAACAGGACTGTCCTATTAAATCATATATCATAGTGTCATTAGCGTGAGATCTAACGGTATTCCGAAGTACAAATACTTAAACAAGTCTAGAATAGATAAGGCTATTCCTCGAAAGCACCGTTAGCAACAGCTAGGCCAATTTATGGGCCATGTCGAGATAGGGCCTGCCCTACTCCCAGACCGTGGCTAGAATTAACGAGCAACGATACTCGATATTGAAACCTAAAACTGAATCCCGTTTAGATTTATAGAACCGTGGTAATGATCAAATACTGCAAAACGACAGAATTTTCCTACTTCCAATTCCAAATAATTGTTTATCACGTCACATCAGTTATCATTATTTTTCCTAAATGAAAAATTTATTACTTTTGTTACCAATAAACTCAAAAACTACTGGACCTATTTCCAATTTTTTTTCATAATTAGGATGCTACATTATTACTGAGTAATATAGGCCATATTTAAATTATTATTATTTTAAAACATTGAAATAATAAAACAAAAACTGACCACCCGTGCTAAGCAAGCATGAAATTGTAGTGGTTCATGAAATTGGGAGACATTCTTTTTTTTTCTTTTTAATTTAGATTTTTCTTTATGTTTTTTTTATTGTGTTAGGTAAACGATCATGTTTTTAATCCAAATTTTTAGTGCACATTTGATAAAAGGATTTTTTAAATTACATATATTTTTTTATCTTTTCGAGTACGTTGAAAAATCACTTTATAATATTCGCTACTCAAAGCGATTGAATTTATTTCCTCGTGGAGAATTTATTACCGTTACCCAAGATGACGCGGTGTCAAGAACATCGCAAAAACATGTGCAAATAATATTAATTTATTCATCAGGTAAATACTGCTCTAGAAAGAGCGACCATTAATTTTCTTACTAGTATTATAAATGCGAAGGTTTCGATGGATGGATGTTTGTTAGAGTTTGTAGCCCAAACGGCTGAAGGGATCTCAACGAAATTTGGCATAAATGTAAAGAATAGTTTGGAAGAACACATAGGCTAATTGTTTTTGTTTTTTTTTTTAATTCCTCGCGTACGGAGTCACGGGCGAAAGCTAGTTGAAAATAAGTATCCTTTTAGATTTTTTTATCAATACCTTTATCGGTATACAAGACTAGCTCAAGCACCTTACGTTTACGTGATTCCCAATAGCCCAACATCTTCTTTGCCTTATTAATAAAATGGGTCATATTTTAAATCAATGTTGAAGAGTGATGTGTTCTTCAATTCTACTTACGTAATTGGTTGTTTTAAATTGATTATTTGAATTAATCATACTTCATACTAATATTATAAATGTAAAAGTTTGGATGGATGGATATTTGTTAGAGTTTGTAGCCTAAACTGCTGAACGGATTTTAATATAATTTGGTTTACATGTAGAGGTTAATCTGGAAGAATACATAGGCTACTTGGTTTTTTTTTAATACCTCGCGGACGTAGTCGAGGGCGAAAGCTAGTTAACTAAATACAATATTAATTTCTCAGTGTTCAAATATAAAGATAAATGTTACATAAGTGTATTTTATAGATACAGGAAGCCACAATTCATACATTCCTTTCGTTTTGGTGTTTCACAAGCCATTTAAAAAGCGAAACCATGGACAATCGAGACTTATGCAATATTACCAATTAAACAATTATCTCCATATCTCAGACTGCGTCAAATATAATTGTTGTTGTTATTGTTCATGTTTTTTAACGTTATATTGTTATGGATACAAGTTAATAAAGCGATTAGAATTTTTAAAAATAAATAATCTTTTTCGAGATAATTTTGGATTATCTATACGAGTACTTACATCTATACTTAATGTAATAAAGCGTTAACACACACTTCTTTGTTGCCTAAGATGTCAGCAATCACAGCATATTTTCGAATAATTATTTTTATAATAAAAAGCCTTACGCTTACGTCACTCTTTAGGCTATATATTTTCACACCATTAAACTTAGAGGATAAATAATTTGGACAAAAAACCCTAATGTGGGAAAGAGACCATAAGTTGCTGCCAACATCAAGGAAGCAAGGTTGCCATGCTTTGTCATCATGTCATGTCATTTTGACATTTGCAATTGATAATTTGACACAAGTAAACAATAAAATAAAGTTTTTACAATTCCATGCGGAAATATAAAATTTTTGTACTTAATAGTTCCTTTTTTCTGTAACTACTTCATGTTTTTATAATGTTCATGAAGAGAAATGGTTTTCATCTTTAAAAAATCCCCCTCGACCCCAAGAGGTTTTAAGATAATATAACATTTATAAACTTGAGCAAGCATAGAAAAATATTTATAATCACCTCATTACGATAACGATAAGTAAAACCATAACAATTATATAAATCCCTGCAACTAGACGTAAACAAGAAAAGTCTACGTTCATTATAATCTTGAAATAGAATGATCTACTTCCATTCATGTGTATTTTCTTATCATTTCAGATGACAACAATGATTGGACGATTAGTCATCGCAACTTTTTGTTTGCAGACCTTTTATTATGGTTTGGTAAGTTATATTCTATTGAAACATTATTATACCTATACTATCCTTTACTATCTATCCTATACTATCCTATACTATACTACTATCCTATCCTATCCTATACTAAAACAGACTATGTTTCATGTTTCACTAACATTTATGTTAGGAGAGGTTAAGAGGTTTACCTCTTTTAAAAACCAAATTACCACTAAATGAATGCCAAAGATTTCTCTGTTTATTACTAGAACCTTAGGAAAAAGACAAAACAAAAAATCAAGACAAAACAAAAAGTCAAATCGTATTCTATGAATGTATGAGTCATACATTATCTTTCTTATAAAAAAAAAATCATTCTCAAAGGTCGACAATGTATATTTAGTTCCTCTGATATTACGGCTGTCCATTGGCATCGATGACAACTGCTCGTTTGTCCAATATAAAAATCACATTTTCCAATATTTGAAAACATAACAAAAGCTTTAAAACATCCAAATACCTTTCACTATAAACGAAAATCGTTAACCGAAAACTTGACTTAATTACACATGTGTACAGAATTTTCATTAGACCTGTCGGTCCGTGCAAAATCAATTCCTGTCAACTCATGAATATTCATACGAAGTCTTGCTTTCACTTCACGATAACAACAATTGAGTTTCCCCAAAACTGAATAACAAATCGCTACCGTGACATGTACTGTTTTACATACACTAAGCGGGTATTAAGAAATTCGAGATAACGTAGTACAATCATAATTTTGTCACTGAATTACGTCAAAACTATCAAGCACTAGTAATTAATATAATCTATGTTACTCAGTGATAATATAGCTTTCTAATGGCATATGAATTTTTGAAACCAGTCCAGTAGTTTTTTAGTTTATTCGTTACATACAAAAATACAAATTTACGTATTTAAAATACTAACTGTTGCTCGCCACTTCACCAGACCGAAGTTAAAGAAATAATTTTAAAAATGTGGCCTATGTTACTTGCAGATAACGCAGCTTTTAATGGTCAAAGATTTTTTGAAATAAACCGAGTAGTTTTTGAGTTATTTATGTAAATTAATACAAAAATACAAAATAACAAATCTATCATATTTACAATATTAGTATATATAGTTATATATAGTATATATAGTACTATAAGATGAGCAGGGGTATCTTGAGCCGAAACAGCCAGAGAAAAAAACACAGCAGGGTGGCAGCAAAGAGTCATTTATTGGTTATATACC